GCGCCTCTGCCCGAGCCAACCACTCCGCCACCATTTTCGTGGCGGCGTTTCTTAATGCTTCCTGTTGAGCCACGCCAAGAGGACGGACGTAATGCATCCGTGGCAGTAACGGTTGCCCGTAAACCGAACATATATTGGGTAGCAATGACGGGCAAGCGAACCGAACTGCTACTTCGATTTCTCCCATCTTTTTCAAACCGCTCGGTAACAACACCAGGAGAGGATACGAATTGGTGTACACCTTATTACTCTCGAGTGTCGATACCCGAATTCTGATTTTCCCGATCCGGGTATCGGGTCTATCGTCGGATACATCTGAAAACATTCTCCGATTGTCAAAAACACCTATGGTGAGTACCGTGCACGGATCATAAACCTGCCATGAATACTGCTCGTTCCATCTTGGATCAAAACTATCCATTATGGTTCGTGTCCGAACCCATTTTTTCCCGTACTTTGCCACACAATAGGCATCGGTCGAACCTTTTCCGCCATTTTTCGCCTTCATCGGCAACAACCCACGAGCCCCGAGTATCCCGAGCTCGAGTATCCCGATCGCCGGCTTCCATAGCTGCTTGGCCGTTGGCCGGAAATCGCTGCACACGTGCGCTGCCTCCTCAAGCACGTGATACCCTCCTTCAAGACAGAGCCTGAGGCTGATCCGACCGCAGTAAGGTCCTCCTCCGTCGGGATTTCCACCTCCACCATCTCCTCCGGTGTCCAATGTCAGCCATTTTGATGCCACGTGGCGGTCGTCAATTCGCTGCTGGATTGAGCCCATTGGAACCATGGCTTGACCGAGAAGCTGCGTTTCTTTGGTCGTTCTGTCTTCCACAAGCAGAATCAGAGAGTCTTCCAATGGTTCACCGACGACGAAGATCAGATCCTCGTTCCAACGAAATGACCCACTGTTGTTGTTCATGGAGCCTCTTCTTGTTCGAGCAGATTGAAACCCTAACTGGGCGTTCACACGGACCTCGGGAGCCGTCAATGGCGGAAGATTCGGAGCGATATGGAGATCCTGAGCTTCGAGAACCGTCACTCTCAGGTACCAGAGCTTTGGAGATTGATATACCTTAGAGCGCGTGTGCGCAACGTGTGGCGCTTCCGAGCTCCACGCCTCCGGAAAGGCTTCGTCGGCTTGAGTTCCGATCCAAACCGAGAGCTGGATGTCGCCGGAGACTCTTCCGGAGCTCTGGCCGGCGGCGGAGCCCTCGAGACGGTACCATTGAGGTGCCGGGGTTGGTTTTCTCGGAGAGGTCGAAGCAAACGCCGCCGAGAAAACTCTCCAACGGAGCGTCCCAAACGGAGATCTCGAGTGTCTCTCCGGAAACTGCAGATTCCAACCGGTTGTGTCCGAGCGCGAAGACCTGTTTCCACTCCGCCGAGTCTGTCGGTTCACCGGGGCGGTGAATCGCCGGCTTCGACCGTACGAAGTGGTTTGATGTCCGTACCTTTACGTACACGCCGTCGTTCGGCGCAAGGCCACGTGCCTTCACGACTCTAACGAACAGATACTGCATTGGCTCCACTAGATCGTACGGACGGCTCCTCTCCGCCGCAGCAGCCGTCATCGTCGCCGTCTCTCCTCCGATTTTGTTGTTGATAACCCTCGGCGCGTAATCTCCGTTGGGTTTCTTCGGAACCCTAATTCTGTCTCCGCCGGGATGTCTCGCCGCCTGCATCTTCCTCACCTCCGGCGGATAATAACGGACCTCCGCTGTTGCCTTCTCCGCCGGAGGAGGCGATGACAGCGGCGGTTGAGGACAATGACGGACACTGTGAACATGCCTGACCATTTGCGGCGGCGACTCCTTGACGACAACCATCGGTGGAGGCTGAGCCACCGGGTAGCTCCGCTGACACATCTCCGACTGAACCGGAGCTTCAAAAACCCTACCATCTTCCACCACAACCACACCAGGCGACGACTTCTCCGGCGGCAGATTCTGCATCTGCGGCGGCCCATCCTCCCCTTGCAGCGGATGCGGCGGCTCCTCCTCCGCGATTTCATCGAAATAGTATACCTTCAGCCCAATGTCACCACGAACCCAGCTGAAAACACTCTTCTTCTCCAACGGAAAATACACGAGCTCTTCCTCGCCTCTCCTCGCGAACTGGCTGCCATAGATCTTAACCCTCCCGAGAAAATTGTTCTTGCGACCAGTACCACTGCCGAACCTCTTGTCGTTGTAGACCTCGATATCGATCTCCTCGTGCTCCACGTTCTCCGGGTCGGAGACGAAGAACTCGAGCATCTCATTCCAGACAGGGTTGAGGTCTCGGAACTTGGTGGAGGTCCGCTTCTTCTGGGCATCAAAGTCGACGACGACATAGGCACTTGAGCTTCCATGTCCATCTTTGGGGAGAAGACCACGCGCCTCCACAACCTCCACGATGAGCCTCAGTCGGGTTCCCATCGGCGGTGGTGGCTCCGGCTGAAACGGCGTCGTATTCATCGTCTTCTCATTTTTCGAAGAATGTGCGCACACAGAGAGATTCAGCGTTGATCGCGGAAGAGAGATGTTTTTTTTTTCCTCTTGGCTTTAGAGGCGTGCTTTATTACTGGATATATTCTTTTTTTTTAAATGAATATATTCCTTCTGTGAAGCATTTCTTCTATACGAAATTATTGCACCGTGCGTATAGCTGTTTTTTTTATTTATTGATAAAGAGAATTACAGGGAAATTTAAAAAAAAAAACATATTACTTTTACCATCGGGTTCACATGTTTTTAACTTGCGTAAATTACTTTGTTAAAATCAATCATTTTATCGTTACGTTGCAGTTTTAGTAATTACCGGATAAAAATATGATTTTCTTTCTGTATATTTTTCAAAATATAAATTGGAAAGAAAATAATGATTTTCCTTCTACGAGAGAGAGATGGGGACTCGAAAGACACTTTTATGTACGGAAGAATACAAAATCTACATTATATTTTCAACATAAAGTTTTACAGCAACGTTTGCTACTATAATGACTTTTTTTTTATTTTTTATTTTAACCAGATGGTTCCCCGACCTTCGACCCAACCTTCGACCCGACTACATCCATGACCCGACTACATCCATATGAGAAATCCCCGAGCAACAAAAACTCCTTTATGTTTCCGCCCTCGGTGCTATTTGCTCCTGTCTTCTCATTCATTAGTTCATTGGCTGCAGAGCTACCACCTCTTGTTTTAACGACTTTGTGAACTATACAACATGCCCAAACGTAACATTAGTCGAATAAGATTCGTAACGATAGAAAACGCCCGTGTTTCATAATCGTTCTTAAAGAACTCCGAACCTGAGATATCTTGAGCTCAAGCTCGTTCCATTCAGATGATGGATCACTCCCTGCAACTATTCCTGTTCCAGCGTAGATTAATGCACCAAGGCCCTGTCACCCCCGAGATTCATTAGACGATGCTAAGATTTCAGTTTTTTGAGTGTGTGATAACTGTAAGCCACATGACCCCAATTGCTAAAATGATTCAGCTCACCTTTTCGACTAACGCAGACCTAATGCCAACGGCAAATTCGCTCTCTCCACCACCAAAAAATCCTACAGGCCCAGCGTACATTCCTCTATCAAATGGCTCTGCAAGAACACATGCAATATTCATACATGAAAGTAGTGTAAGCATCTACTAGGGAATGGCTCTATGTTCTTGGTGAAGATTAGCCTAAAAACCAAAACAAAAGGAGAGAAGTAACAAAGCATATACCGATTTCCTTTATCAAAAGCCGAGCTTCCTCTGCTGGGCAACCACAAACTGCTGGTGTTGGATGCAGAGTAGTCAAGATATTAAACTGGAAAAGAGATAGAAAAATAACGAGTTGGAGCGGAAAGTACTGAGAGTAAAAGCACATAACTCCATGTCCAACAGCTAATAATCCCAAATATGATTGACAGATCTAATAGAAGTGCATGAATGGACCTTTTCATAAGAGATAATAAACCAAAATGCATGGAAAGGAATACTCCTAACCCTCAGGGATACTATATTATATGCACCTCATCCTCTTCGCATCTTAGATGGCCTCCTATTTGTGAATATAGGTGCTGCACTCTTGCTAGCTTCCTCACGGTTTTATTGGGTTTAACAACTACCCCATCACATATGGCCTGCAACACAAAAGAGAGAAATATAAGAACATAAATCCGATGATTATGCAAGTGAATGAATGAATGAATGTTTCCGCTAAAAGAAACAGTTCGGATAGATATTTCTCTGTGAAACACAGACTTGGCAATGAGAAGCAACCAGAACTTACTTTAAATTTTGTTCTTATATTCTCTCGCACAATAGAAAACTCGAGGTCATCTTTTGCACTGCAAAAGTTTCGCAAATAAATGCCAGTATGAATACCTGGAAGATTCCAAACACCATAAACGTTCAAAGAACATAGATGAAAAGTTTACCTGGTAAGTAGGTCTCTCTCTATTTGCATATCATGAGCAATCGAATCAGCTCTAGGACGGGTTGCAGCCAAAGCTTCACTGCAGACACCGAGCTGTTTTCTGTGGAAGAGTCTCTCAGGCTATTGCACAAAAAAATGTTTATATCAGAAAAACACTCAATTTCAGCATTCATCAATGAAAACAAAAAGACACGTTATGAAAAATGGTCTCTTCCCAAATTTGTACCAGTGCCAATTGTAAAAAAAGGACAAAGACACATGATATCTTTAATAAGTAGCATTCCCATTTCATCAAATTCCGTAAAACACATAACAGAATACCCCAATAGGTAGCTCAACCACATTGATTAAGTAGCTTACTGTGTTTCCAATAAATGCTGGTGCACCAGGTGGTTGAAGACAGAACTGGTAAGCATCTTGCCCTTCAAGCTGTCATATTAACTCAGTTTGAGATCAATTCTAAAGATTGTTTAATTCTGAAAAGTGACATGCACGGAGAAGAAAAAACACCTGTAGCCGTGCTAACCAGGCGATAGGATCAATATCAATATCCGTTATGATTCTGCTGCAGCGTGCAAGCACAACCTGAAATCCGAAAAAAAAAAAATCTTTATTGCAGAGAAACCCATAAAAATGCCGGAAACAAAAAGCATATGTCTTCCATAAAATACCTTGTCAAGGGATGAGCTGCGTTCCTTTATCATCTGCAAAGCTCTCCTTACAGCAGGGTGATAGGCTCCTTTGCTAGGAACATGGTTCTTGCTGACAACAGATACTCCAAGACTTTCCCTCTGTAACCTCATTACAGTAGATGAAACCTGAATCGTCGAATGTTACACGAACAACGTTACCTTAATGTAAAGATCATCAAAAAACCAAACATATTTGTAAACCAAACAAGGAGATTTCAACAATGTCCACCTGAAGCATAACTTCCAAGAGTGCTTCAAGGGCATCATTTAGAGTCCATGAGAGTTGATCGTCCCATGCAACAGTCGCAGCAAGCATCGAACTTCCCATAAACTCATCTAACTCAACCTGTGTATACAGCAACCAGTCATGAATACAAAAATGGCCGTCTTCCATGGCCCCCAAATTTCGCCACAAAGAATCAAATTATTGTACCTGAGGCACCGTAAAGTAAAATGAACCAAATGGTTCCCACTCCGTAGCGATCCTACCGTGAGGATCAAATCGCATGCCACCATACGCACGGATCAATGGCGACTTCGAAGACAGAAATCTACAAAAGAAAAAAAAAACATTGCTTAAAGTAAACAAATATTAGACGATTCACTTAGCTAAAAAACCAAACGCAAACCACAGAAAAAAGAGGGGAAAAAAACAATAGAAAGTATCAATTTGCGTGAAGAAAAACATGAACCTCAATCTACGTAAATGTCAAACTACCTTCGAATCGATGACCAATCATCATGAGAGAAGGGGCTTAGTTCACGGAAGAATACCGCGGATCCTATGCCGGCAACGCTAACCAGATTGCGATGACATGATCCATGTCCGTTTATGTGTCCGTCGCCATTCTCGTTCCCGAACTCGAGGAGAAGATCGGGACGACCAGTTTCGCTGCGACGAGAGAAGAAGCATCGAGGGAGAACGTCGTTCTGGGCATGAAGCCAATCGATCGCCCCGATTTGCTGGTGGATCGGTACCTGCACAAATTTAGGAATCGTATCAGATTTGGGAATTAGGGTTCCAATTGGGCGAGATTTTGCGCGGGAAGCGAGATTCACTGCTCCTCTATTATTATTTTTTAATTGGGAAAAACGTTACTTAGGTAATTGTTTTTTACTGCTTGGTGTTTTTTTTAAATCTTTTCTTATCCTCTTCTTCATATTTGATTACACTTAAGGACACCGAACTCAGAGAGAACTTAAATCATTTTAGTTTTTCTCGTTTGATAAAAACTAAGAAACTATATGATAAAAAAAATAGAGATGAAAAACAAACTATTTCGGAGTTTAATTTAAATTATAAGTTCTGGATTTAGTCGAATTAAACTAAATACAATTGATTATGGTTAAATACGATTAGATGAACGAACTATAACTAACAAAATCCTAATTTTTACAATATTGTTCTTATCTATATATTAAAAAAAATATAGTACATAAATATGATGAAATTCATAGCTATGGTTGTGTTTTGAAAGAACCATATAAAATTATATTCTCAATACTAAAATCTCCATTTTATACCTTAATCGATATTATAAATATGTGAACCGACTTAAATTTTTGTACATTTAGGATAACTCGTTGCACCAAAAACTAAGTCGTATATATATATACCTTTTTAATTTTATAATTAAATTGACAGAAGTTGGTACTAAGTCAATGGAGAAACAAAATTCCATTTTGGATTGACCAAAGAATTTGGTACGTCTCTGTAGATAATATATAGTTTTAGAGTACATGCAATTGCATAATAATATAACAAAATGTTCTTAATATTGTATTAGCCATTGGTCATGTTGTCTTATACAAAATTATATGTTTATGATTAAACACTAAGAATAAATCATTTACGATAACGACTCGTGCATTAATGATTTATAATCTTCAAATAAAGACTGGTCGTTTTGACTTTCAAGAGTCAGACCAAGAATTTAAAAGACAAATATACAAACGAAAAGAAAAAAAAATATAAAAAAGGTAAAGAAAAGAATCTTAGAGACCAAAAGAAGAATAAGAGAGGCAGCTTCACGTTATTTTTCAAGAAAAAAAACATATTAAATTGACTTTTTTTATATGTTTTTTACAATTAAATTATTTTATAAAATTAAGATAAGATGTTTTAAAATTGAATTGAACCAAATCAGATAAAATATAATTTATATATGAATTATATTCAACCTAATAATAGATTGTGAATGACTTATTTAAAACCATAGTAATCAAATGAATCGAATAAGAAAATAAATCGCCAGAAACTGAAAAAAGAAAAGAAAAGACAAAACGTATATTTAGAAAATCACATGTTATCTAATAAAAGTTTTTAATAGAAATTGGAACGAATTAAAAAATTGTATTAAACTAAATGATATAATATTTACAAAAACGAAAAAATCAATCCGAGACTAAACACAGCCAATTAATACTCAGATTATCATCTTAACATAAATTAGGGATATATATTCGGTTCGTATAACTAAAATTGATATATTCGAATATAATTTAACTTTTCATGAATCAAATCCGATTTGAAAATTCATCGGAAATATTTTTAAAAAAAAATAGATGAAGAAAACTTAAAACGAATACATAATATTTAAAAAATTAGAATGAAACAAAAATTGGAGAAAATAAATTATTTTTAAATAATCAATTTCTAACAAAATATAAACCGATTAAAATATGATATAATTTTTTATAATCCATGGATTTCCAATATTTTGGAGTTTCATTTGGTTGTGTTTTTGTTTTATATTATATATATATATATATATATATATATAT